GTTCGTCAATGTGCTTATGCAGGCTAGTTATATTTAAACAAGCTATTTTAAAGCCTCGAAAGTAATTTTCCGTGTTCGTTCTTTTTGGTTTGTTTAATAGAACTATCAACAATTAACGCATTTATAATGAGTATTTTTTATCAACAAGTACTTCAGTATTTGTTAAAAATTAATCAAAGCGATTAGGTGACCTAAAAAATGGCTTCAAAATTATGTAATGTAAGCAAAATTCATGATAACAATTAATAAAGCGTGAGTTAAAAATACCAACAAGAACTGAAAAATTTATTGTATGGTTCTCATTTGCCCAATACAGTAACATAATGCAACTCAACTGATTTGCATTACTAACAATGAATGTCTCATATTACACCACAAAGCTTTTCGCGCGGATTATATTTCGCGCAGTACTAAAATTCGCTCACTCAGCGCTGCGCGAATTCTAGTACTGCGCGAATTTTAATACAAGTAAGGTATCATAATATTATATAGACAACAACTGGCCTGACAGGTAAACTCCCAGAACATATATTTTACAATTTTGAAACAATTGCTCTTTACTGTATATAACCTCTCGTATATGCTTCTCTGTTTTATTAACCTATAATGCATCAATCGCAACATTCTATTTTTGTATTCCAGACCTGTTTTACTGTGCCTGGTTCACTTCCTCAGAGGAAAATTGACAAATTAAGAAGTAAAAAGCAAGAAATGTTGACTGCCGCAGTTTCAACGAGCTAGCATTTCCTACTGAGTACTGGCTGAAGACTATCTTTTTAATGACGATGTAAATTATTTCCTTCATATATTATTTATTGTAAAAAGTGAAATCTAAAGAATCAGAATGAATGGTATTAATTCGCAAATTAATTTCTGAAAAAATTAAGATTTAAAAAACGTCAGATTTGTCACATTAATTTCTGCATTATTGTTGTATATGAGTAAAATTTGCAGAGAATATGATAAGAGTGAAATATATATGTTTGTATGTTCATATACCAAATCTAGTACATGTTGTAAGCTTGGATATATGTGAAGTAAAGATTGTTGCTCAAGCTTGTATTCAGATTCCCAACGGGAATCCAACCCGTGTCTCCCGATTGCCGGTTCGGTTGTTTTACCACTAGAATATGTAAATTTAAGGACAAAATTTAAACAGTAAGGAATTGTATGTGACTAAAATTGCTATGTTGAAAAATAAACATTTTCGTACTTTGATAATATTCGTGTTGTTCTACTGCTATATAACATTAGTAACATGAGTCAGTTTACAATTCCCGCTCTCATTGTTGGCGTGTCCACACTACACTCTCGTATGTTTTGAAAGTTCTGATTCCCGAAGTACATGCTCACGCGTTTAAAATTTCAGCGCTGACGCCTCAGTGACTGGTGCTTATCGCCCATGTTTTGGAATATGTAATTCAACATTTACAAGGTTTTAAAACGCTGGTTATACCATCATCTTGAGAATGTTATTTCATATGGATTTGTCAAATATGTTTATAAGAGACTCAGTTTAATTTTAATGTGTTATGCTTATATTTGTCCAGTCCTGAAAGGGGGACCACAATTCCTAGAAAATATGGCCGGGGGGGGGCAAATTCCCTAGGACCAGGAAATATGCCCCCCCCCAAAAAATCCCCCCCCGAGCCAAATATCCTATACCTAGGATATTTGGCCCCCTGATTGGAAATTTGGCGCCCTTTTTAGGATTGAATAAATATAAACATAATTCATGAAACTGATGAAAGTGAATCTCTTATGAGGGTCTAGATGGGGTGGTGCCCAAAACAGTAAACATTTGATTTTTTAGTAATTTAACAGTAACAGTAAAAAATTTCACATAATAGTAAAATTTTGCTAATTTCATGAAGACGTAAAAAAGCACTTAATTATATGTAGGAAGCAAATGCACAGTCTCTAAGACCATCAAAGACATATTTTGCATATTTTATAATTGGCACACCAGGCCCATATGCGCATGTGTTGTCCTGCATGATAGTGATGGGCGATACCAGGATTTTTAATTCGATACCGATACCGATACCTATTTCGATACCAAAATGAACACAAAATTTCAATTTTCGATACCGGAAGTGAGTACTTAAATTTCTAGTATCGGCTACTTTAGATACCTGCCGGTCAGCGGAAAAACATTTTACATTACTGTATGTAATCTAAGTAAAGCTATAAGTAAACCAAAAGCCCGAAACGTAATAAATATTTTCTATACATGACTTGGCGCACCACATTTGGAATATTAAGAGTTATTTTAGTGGTTTATTAAGTCTTATTCAACCAAGAAGTGAAATTAAACAAGTCGTTCAAAAAAGGGTGCAAGTATCGAACGATACCACGTCAGTAATCGATACCGATACCGCTGTTTGTGGTATCGCTGGTATCGAATACCGAGTACTCGGTATCGCCCATCACTACTGCATGAAGGCAAAGATGCAGGTGCTGGGCAAGGTGACAAGTGATGTAAAAGCTATAAAGATCTGTAAGACCTGTAAACACACTCTGACATCGCTTTTAATATAGTTTCGTATTCTTTTGTCTGAAATTTAGTAGTTTAAAGCCCTTTTTGAAATGCATTAGACTTTTTATAATAATTACAACACTTAACTGCGAAGTCTTCCATGACAGTAAACAACAAAATATTTAGCGTTTCAACATTAAACACTATAGAATATGGGCCGTCAACACTTAACATTAAACCCCATCTAGACCCTCTCTTATAAACATATCTTTGACAAACATGTGAAATTTCAGTCTTAGTATGATAATGATGGCATAACCGGCATTTTAAACCTTGTAAACTTAAAGGTGATCTACAGTCCGTATGTAAACAAAGGCTTTGTTTACATTATTGTGTCCAAAATATTGAGCTTTATTCGACAACTATTTATATTTTCAAGCTTCTGGAGTATAATAAATGATCAAGAAACAACAATCAGGCTTTTCAAGAACTCAAAACATAGTTAAACTGTTTGTATCATAAAAAGTGGGCTCATTTGTGCACATGCGCAGATCGGACTGTAGATCACCTTTAAACATTCGACAACTTAGGCGATTAGCACAGCGCTGAAATTCCTGACGTGTGGGCACATCACTCATGGTTACCTAAAATCTACATGAAAGCGAGTGGTTATGATTTAGTTTAGCATTGTTGCAACATTTATTAAGGAATCCGAAAATAAGACATAAATCTACAGTGCAGTGTTTAGATTTTATGTAAAATTTACTTTTTGCGTTGGCTTTGTCACATGCCCATGTTAATGACCACGGTCAAAAGCCGTTATGGCGTTAATGACCCAAATAATGAGTTCACAGTCAAACCATTTTGAGAGATCGCATCTCATAAGATATTAAAATTATTTTTAACCAGATCCATACTCTATAGAATTATTAAACTGAGAAAAACAAGAATCTGAGGGGGGCCAAATTTCCTAGTAAATTTGGTCGGGGGGCCAAATTTCCTGTGACACCTCGGCAATGACGTCTTCCTGCAGAATTTTGTTTTTTGATATAGCTTCATAAATCTCGATTCTCAATATAAGGGATGTTTCTTATTTTCTTGAAATAGCACAAAAGGATATTAATTAGTTCGTCAAGTACCGGATCAGGTTAATTGCCATGAAATAATTTTATCAAATTCCTTTTGTGTCAGTTAATGACGTAATTTCTTGATGTTCAGGTCCCCTTCTGATTCAGTAGTTAAAAGTGGTCAGCCACAATAATCTCTTCTAACTCTGGGGTTTGTTCAGACACGAAGAGTATACGAATATAGCAACCATGCATAACTATATGTCAATTCATATTATCGTTATTTAAAAGTATACTCTTGTGGGTGGCATAAAGTGTGAACCACGCATGCGCTTATAAGGAAACTCGCGCTAACAAAGTACTTCAGTGTTTTATATGGATCAGTGATTAAGCTGAGCGAGCGCGCAGAGGTGCTTCGGGAGGACGCGACTTGCTTAGCGCGATTTTCCTTACGAGTGCCTGGGTGCGAAGCTCAAACATGCGAGTCACACATGAATACTACAACGAGCCATGTTTGGCAGAAAAGTTTCTATTAAATCAAATATTTAATATGTGCGAGCATGTTATACTGGATGTATATCAAGTTTAAGGCTTATATAAGATGTTGAAAACGAATGTCCATGTTTTCTGTTGAAGGTACGGTAAAGATATTGAAGATAATCATATCTTCATATATCTAATTGACAATGATTTTTCTTACTATAACGGGGTAGGTATTTTTCGAGTTAAGCCCTTTTCGAGTTAAGCCCTTTTTGAGTTAAGCCCCTGCCACGCCCTTTTTCGCCGGGTCCTTACAATCAGGAGCAAAAATGATTGAGACAACCGCATAAGTGCCCCCCTCACCCCCAATTCAATGTTGTGTGGATGACTGAAAAGAGAAAATTCAACCCACTTTTTCCAACATTGATCACTAATGGGGGCAGGGGGGAGGCCGACGTACTTTAAAATGGCCAAAAATGTGAAAAGTCTCATTATATTTGCACGCGATTGTCTGAGATGGAGCTGTCTGGGGGGGTAGGGATAAAACACTGAAACGGAAACTGAAAGCGGAAACTGACATGGGGATAAAACGCTGAAATGGGGGTAAAACGCTGAAATGGGGGTAAAACGCTGAAATGGGGGTAAAACGCTGAAATGGGGGTAAAACGCTGATGTGGGGGTAAAACGCTGAAATGGGAGTAAAACGCTGAAATGGGGGTAAAACACTGAAATGGGGATAAAACGCTGAAATGGTGAAATTTAATCGAATTCGTTGTTTGCTAGACCATTGCGAACGGCAATTGCTAGATAGTATACTTCAAAATAAGGTTTCCGTTTTTATATCAATTTTTAAAATAAGTTGGGGTTAGGTTAGGGTTTGGGTTAGGGTTAGGTTAGGGTTACTGGGTAAGGGTTAGTATTAGGGTTAGGGTTGTTTAGTTTTATGTTAGGATAGTTTTTTCTACGTTATAAAAACGCAAACCTTATTTTGAAGTATACTATCTAGCAATTGCCGTTCGCAATGGTCTAGCAAACAACGAATTCGATTAAATTTCCCCATTTCAGCGTTTTATCCCCATTTCAGCGTTTTATCCCCATTTCAGCGTTTTATCCCCATTTCAGCGTTTTACCCCCATTTCAGCGTTTTACCCCCATTTCAGCGTTTTACCCCCATTTCAGCGTTTTATCCCCATTTCAGTTTCCGCTTTCAGTTTCCGCGATTCAGTTTCAGCGTTTTATCCCTACCCCTATTAGCCATCCAATGAGACAATAATATTTTGAATTTTTTAGTGTAATGTCAAATTTTTTCACAATAACTTTCTAATATAACGTATAGTGAATATCTGCTATTCAGTGTCCAATTTCAGTGCTAAAGCACACATACAGGGTGTATCAAAAAAATGTACACCCTTTCAAATTAACTGTAACCTATTGTAGTAATTTGACAGCCATATAATTTCTCAAATTAATGAATGTGTGTCTTCTGTACATGGGAATTGTTTAAGTAAGCATTATTCAAGTCTGCATAAGATATAAAATGGGCCAGCTTACTGCAGAGCAATGAATATTTAAAAGGTCATGGCTAAGCCGCTAATTTGAATTTGAAAGGGTGTACATTTATTTATACACATCTGACAGTTGGGGGGAGGCTTTAAAGTTGCAATATTCCCCAGGGGAATTTCCCCCACAAGTATTGGTACAATCCAGGAATAGAGTTGCACAATTGTGTCTCATGACTTTGATTGTTTATCTCCACTAGATTGTTCAACTTTTTTCTTGCTCATTATAAATGGTTGATGAAATGCTTCATGCAAACGTTTTGCCTAAAAAATGAAAACATACAGTAAATCAAATGAAGTAAAATGGAAGATTATTACTATTAGCAGTGCTGTCAATAGGGGCATTTGAGGCAATCTTCTTACAAGATTACTTAACCAATGCATGTGATTAGTTAATTTAGTAGTCTGAATTTTTCTGATTAGTTCCTAGTCCTTTTCGGTAGCAGTGGTGGTGGTGGAGGTCGGATCTGAACTTCGCTACCAACGTTTTACAAGTACATATTTATTGATATGTGTATGTTTGTATGTATGTATGTCTGATGTACATATTATTTTTGTAAATTTTACGCAATTCAGCTTTTGTACGCTGCTATGTAAAATCATAATAAACTATCTATCTATCTATCTATCTATCTATCTATCTATCTATCTATCTATCTATCTATCTATCTATCTATCTATCTATCTATCTATCTATCTATCTATCTATCTATTCTCGAATGTTGCCAATATAGCTCTATGTCATGATCAGCCCTGATACAGTATGTCAGCGGGCCTCATTTGTAGCCAGGTAGTCAAGTCTGTGTCTCCTTCCTTCCTTTTGAGGAAAAAAAACACAAAAATAGTTTTGGTAACAACTACACAATCCTCATTCATTAACAGCTTATGTTTTCACTAACAAGCTATCCCCTGGGGTTATAAGCCGTGCTTACACTACGAGCCTAAGCCTGGCCTAGCTTTGGACTAGATTTTTGTAGTGTAAATGCACTTTGGGCCTTGCCTAGGTTAAGAAATGTGGAACACCTGTTCTGATGGCCCAGATTTCCTGACCTAGGCCAGGCCGAAGTGCGTAATTTACACTACAAAAATGTAGTCCAAAGGTAGGCCTAGGCCAGGCTTAGGCTCGTAGTGTAAACACGGCTACAGACAGAGCGAAATACTATGATGGATGGAACAAGAGACACTGGCAGATAGTTTTGTTAGCCCATATTAACTTTATCTCAAATATAGGAAAGCTCGAAACTAAGAAGGTGTATATGTACACTAAATTTGATTCAGGCCTTACTAAATGAATCTTATAAAATGAAACTATAACCTCACCTGTCTGCTCTTAGCGGGTTGACCTTTTGATTTGAAGAGTGAATTAAATATTCTTCATTAGGTGAAGTACTTTCTATAGAATTACATACATAAAAAATAATATTAATTAAGTTACATTTTTAATAAAAGCATTGTGAAATTTTGAGACCTAAAATCCTATTAATTACCGGTACAGTATAAACCAAAATGCAATTTTCATTCATTATTTTCTATTAAAGACACCTAATGTCGGTGCAAATGAATATGAAAATGAAAAAACAAAATGATATGATTTAATTACCAGTCACTGTTCATGTGGTGGCTTCATAACTCCTTTTGAAATGCCGTAGTAAATAAGTGGGTCCAATTGGTCAATCAGCTGCTGCTTTTCACAATTCCTTATGTATGCGCTTTCTTCTGCTTCTTCGGGTTGATTGAGGGTCCTCCGAACTTCTTCAACAACCTATTTGATCATGATGAGTGATAATGTAAATTTTTTGAAAATAACCGCATATACCTTATTCCAGAGTTTTTATAACCATGATACTGTAGCTCATATACTTTACTCAGTAGTCAGTGGTATAACTTTATTTTTTTGACCACTTGTCCTTAGGGCAAGTTCAACTTGCCAAGTTAGATATGAAAATTAGTTGCCCTGAATAAAATTCACTTGCCATCAGACAATGGCCACGGGGTACCTAGGTAGGGGGTATAAATTAAGGGAACATGTCAACCCATTCTTCCACTGCTCTAGACGGCTGTGTTATACTCTCTCAGATCTAGCTTTGGCCCACAAAAAAACAAAATTTGAATCCATGCACAAGTACAACATGCACTGTATAAAAAATTTATCCAGCAATGAAAACATAAATTTAAAAGATGCCCAGCTTTTTGTGGCAATGATATTCACTTGCCCCGGGCAAGTGTTAAGTTACAAGTTACAACTCTGTTACTTATTGAAAGCATGATATATAACTTGGCATCCTTAACCAATTAACCACCATCGCTCTCCCACTCACAAATGAAATTGTCTGGTGTTAGACAGGAATACAATAAAGGGTGCGATGCAACTTCATGGGTTAAAATTTGAAATTTTGACTGTGGGACCATGATTTCTGGGACTCAAATTGACCATAGTGACTCAAATTTTCCCACGAAAAGAAATAAATTTATTTGTAATCATTGTATTATATAGGATAGAGTTTCCAACATGAGAAAGAATTTTTGAACAGCAAAATCCATTAGATGGGTATAAAATGTAAGGGTGATGTTGTTGGTATTTGTGATTTAATATGCTATTGCCTCATTCCAGAAAACATTCATACCTGTATGGTTATGATTTAATCTCAGTTGTATTGGAGATAAGCGCTACAGTACTTGTTTCAGTAACCCATTGAGTGATAGCACTGACAGGTAAATCATCTGACATTAGATGGAGTAAAACAATAAAGTTGTGGCACAATGCGGCTTATATGCAATGTCTGGCCTAGTGTAATATCCAGTTAACACCCCATCTCAGCGACCAGCCAAACTTCTCGAGAAGTATTCCTGTTTTAATGGGTTAACATGACTATGTGTCTAGTGAACCCATTAAGTTGTATTGTGCCCTGATGTGCCCTACTTCCTTATTTTACTGTCTTTTGAATGCCAGATTATTGTTCTTTTTCTAGCGTCAGACCATTTTACTCATCATGGCTAAGTGGAGATTGCTGGACTGCTAGTGCTTAAATTAATGTGTTAATTTATTAATGGTTATTTTTAAGATAATTCAACCTACTGTAACTTTGGATGCACATGTAAAAAGAATACTACCATAGTTAATAGTTTAGTAGTTTTATGCCGTTGTAAGCTTCCACAGACTGTTTTTACACTATAAAGTCTGCAGTAAATATACAGTCATTTAGACCCATTTAATTATAAATTGCTTTTAAGGCCTATTTAATATGATCCCAGGCTAGACATTTGGCATGATCCAGCTTGCAATATGAACCCTATCGACTGTTTACAGTATTAAGTGAATTATTCTACTTCCCAGTAAGCACGCGACGTCGTTTCGACGTCGAATTTTGGTTGAATTTCGGTCGCGACGTCGATCTACCTTTAAACGACTTCATTTCGACGTCGTTTCACCGACCTGATATCGACGTCTCAAAACAGACGTTGTTTCGACGTTGTTTCAACGTCAGGTAAAATCGGACAAACACAAGATTTGACTGCATATTATAGGAAAATGTTTTTGTAGTATTGTGAATGGTCATACAAGGAATTTGATATGAAATTTTTGTCACGTCGTTGAGGCGACCATATATCAGCTTCATTTCGACGTCGTTTTGCCGACGTAATATCGACGTCTCAAAACAGACTTTGTTTCGACGTTGTTTCAACGTCAGGTAAAATATGACAAACACAATTTTGACCACATACGAATATATATTTATTACTGTTGGGATATTGTATAGGATCTTATATAAGGATATTTGATATGAAATATTAATGTTAATTACGTTTTTGAGACGACCATTTTGCATATATAT